TAGTTTTATCAACTGGACTAGAAAGAAATGTTCACATGTTGAAATAGTCTGTAAGGTAAATAATGTGATTGAATGTAAAAGAGAAAATGAAATAAAAAAATGTAAAAAAAATTAAAAATTAAAACGTAGAAAATTGTTATTATCTCTCTTACCCTTTGCTATAGTTACTGAGAAGAAAATAATGATAAGTGGCTAGGAAATTTCTTTATCATTTTTCTATTTTTTTCCTTTTCTATTAATTGCTTTATGATTTTCCCATTGTTTTAAACCTTTAATTTGTTAGGAATCAGCATTCCTGATAAGTGTGACTCTGGTAATTTTGTGTTTTTAAAACATAGTGTGATTAGGTCAGCAGGTGGTGTGGTGGTCAAGGCTCTGGACTCCCCCATGGCTGACCACAAATTGAGTTGCAGACTCAGCAGCTTGAAACTCACACCAGGCACATGTGCATGTGTTCCCAAAATCCTCAAAGGAGACTGGAAGAGAAGGAATTGTGGCGTGTCCCTCCTCCCCAAGGTTGACTTCTCACTTTCTCTATTTTTCTGTCTCTCCAGTGAGCACATACACCCTATGAAAAAAACTAAATACAAACAAACAAACAAAATATAATGTAATCTTAATGGTGGTAATATAAATTACTGAATACCAAGGATTAAAAGGTTCTTAACAGTGTCTCATGAGAATGTCTTTTGTTCCTGCCCCTTTCCATGTGAGTGAGCATGGTGACTGGCGGTGGAAGGATACAAGAGAAAACACTGTGGAACTGATTCTGCCAGTGTTCTGCTCACAGTCCCTCCTGCATCACTACTGTAGTGCACATAATGGATCTACTCTGGATTTTCAGCATCTGCATCTCTTTACCTGAGGATCTTCTCTGGTAACTAGAGCTGCTTTGCTAGTGCAAACTTACTCTAGAATCACCCAAATCCTAAGAGATGGAGTTGTGATTTTTCAGATTGTTGGAAATGTTGGAGGGAGTCCAGTAAAAAAAAAAATCCTACCTTTTCCAGTTATTAATCAATTAAAAATATGACAAGGTAAAGACAGATCGAGGCCAGACTTACTCTACTAATGATATCTAAGTTGGAAGGCATGACTTAGGGTGAGAGCTGAAATGTTTTTCCAAACAAGTCCAGAAGTAGACAGTGCTGGATTAAACCCAAGCTATGTGGGCAGCTCCTTTGACCCTGGAGTTACACAGCAGAGCATATGTTCCCTGGGAGTCTGCTGGATCTTGAGAAGAAACAACCAGGGTCTGGGATGAACATGTCCAGGTTTATAGATCAGAGGGACAGTGAGTAAGGGGCAGACTAGGAAGATTCTCACATGAGTTTTGTCCACTTGGAGGATTAAACTTGGAGAAGAAACACTCGGTCTTACACTAGCATTCTCTTCTACCTACATTAAATCAACTTTTGGCCATTGTGAATAATGGTGAAATTAATATGGATGTGTAAGTTTTTTTTTTTTCCAACTGAGTGTATTCCTATCCTTTGGGTAGATCCCCAGGATTTTGTTGCTGGATTATATGATAGTTGTATTTGTAGGTTCTTGAGGAACATCCATATTGTTCTCCACAGTGCCTGTACTAATTTATATTCCCACCGACAGTGTAGGAGAGTTCCCTTTTCACTTCAGCCTCGCCAGCACTTACCATTCTTTATTTTTTTAATCTTAACCATTATAGCTGGGGGTAGGGGGAAGGAGGGAAGGAATAAAGAGGGGAAAAAAGCAAAACATTTAATGGACATGAGAGAAGAAAATTATCTGTTGATGATAATGTGTATGGTAATATCTTTGACTGGATTAATATGCAGTGCGTTCATACTGGGAAAGTTCATGTTTTATGCTGTAAAGATATATAGTAATTAAATTTAGAAAATAAAAAAGAAGATAAAATGTCATATTAATATTTTTGAGACATTCTTCATGGAGAATCGTGGCAGTTTCCTGCTTCAGCAGTGCTTGAGCGGAACCGGCACTCCTGCCCCATCATCCCGGCCGGTCACCCAGAGCCAGTCCTCCTCTACCAACTTGCAACGTCCTCGGACAGCTCCAAGGTCCCTGCTGGGGAGCTAGCAACTGGGGCTCTCCTCAGCCGCCCGCCATGATGACAGAGTCCCCTTTGCAGATGCACCAACTGCCACCAGGCCTCAGAGGCCGCCTTCAACCACCAGATCAACCTAGAGCTCTATGCCACCTATGTGTACCTGCTAATGTCTTTCTGCTTTGACCGTGATGATGTGGCTTTAAAGAACTTTGCCAAGTACTTTTCCCACCAATCTCCTGAGGAAAGGGAATGTGCCGAGAAACTTATGAAGCTGCAGAATCAAGGAGGTGGCCACGTCTTCCTTTGGGATACCAAGAAACCAGACTGTGATGACTGGAAGAACGGGCTGGATGCAATGGAGTGTGCATTGCACTTGGAAGAAAACATGAATCGGTCACTACTGGGACTGCACAAACTGGTCACTGACAAAAACGACCCCCACTAGTGTGACTTCATTGAGGTGCATCACCTGAATGAGCAGATGAAATCCATTAAAGAATTGGGTGACCATGTAACTAACTTGCGCAAGATGGGAGCCCTGGAATCTGGCATGGTGGAATATCTCTTTGACAACCACTCTCTGGGAGACAGTGATAACAAGAACTAAGCTTGAAGCTAACTTCCCCAGAGCCACAAGTGACTTCCCTGCTCACCAGGGCAGTGCATGCATGTTGGGGTTTCTTTCATATTTCCTATAATTTGTACCAAGACAACCACTTAAGTTCTTTAATTTGTACCATTCCTTCAAATAAGGAAATTTGGCACCCTCCCAATATGTCTATATTTTATGTAGATTACATAATGATATTGTAATATTTAAATACACTGAGTTAAATAAAACATTATTAATTTTTTTTAAATTAACTTTTGGTGACCAATATGAAACAAAGATAGAGGAATTAAGTGATTACTGGGAGAATTTTCCTTAAAAAAAACTCTAACTTTATATTCAGAAACTTCTAAAATATATACCAGAGGAAGTAATCGCCCAGGATTTCCTTCATAACAGATAAGAAGACTAGAGACAAGAGTTCTGGAGGTATGAGTAAGTGGGGGTTGCCCCAACAAACAGAGAAAAGAAACTAAAGCTCAGAGAGAAGAAATTTGCCTCAAATTACATAAGTGGTGGACTTAGGGTCTTGACTTGTAACTTTTCATTTCAAATCTTGAGCTCCTTTCATTATACCCCTAAATACTCTCTTAACTGGGGTATGTGCGGGGCTTTAGACTGGGGAGCCCACATAGTTCCAATCGTTTTGTTTTACAAATGCAGAAGTCAAGGCTCAGGGTCATCAAATAATTATGTGGCTGTCACAGTGGCAAAGGGAGCACTAGAATCCAGGCCTTAATTCAAAGCTCTCTTCTCATTTTTCTATGGTGTATTTGTGTGTGTGTGTGTGTGTGTGTGTGTGTGTGTGTGTGAAGTATCAGGATATTTCCTTTACATTTCATTCTATCAGACATAATAAACTCTAATTCTTGGACTGTAAGTATCTTCCATAGTTCTTTGGTAATTTTGGCTAAGCACAAATTTCAGACTTGCATTTTTTCATTATATATATTCAAGTCCCTGCATGTGGACTCCTCTTAGGCATCCAGAAAAAATAAATAAGAACTATTATGAGAGCGGATGGTGAACTACTCAGAGTATGGGCACTTTGCAAAGATAATTAGAGCTTACTGATATTGCTGGTTCCCCTTCTGTCCTAAGATATCAACCTACTTTTTTTTGGTGTGCACTTTTATTGAACTGATCTCAAGTCACTGCACAGGTAATCCCTGGCTGCCTCTGCACTTACCCACTCCCAAGGAGACCAAAATCCTTCATACATCTCAGGTTGGAGGACAGAAATAGGGTCTGCGATGGCTGATCATTCAAAATAAAACAAGACAAAAAATATTAAGGCAAAGGAACCAAAGGTTGGTGTAATGGCTATGTTGCTGGACTCCCATGTAGTCAACTGCGGTTCGAATCTCGAACCTGGTTTGCTTAAACTCATGCCGGGCACGTGTGCATGGGTGCCCAAAATCCTGAGAGGAGAATGGAGGAGAAGGAATTGTGGCGTGGCCATCCCCCCTGGGGTGATTTCTCACTTTCTATCTCTTTGGCTCTCTTTGTCTTTCTGGCGAGCACACATGCCCTATAGCAAAAACCTCTCTCTCTCTCTCACACACACACACACACACACACACAGACACACACACATTTGGAGGAGGGATACAGCGGAAAAACAATTGCATTACATAATTTACACAAAAACAATGTTGTCACCTTCCCTGTGTGTATTTAGGTGAGGACTGAGTCATTCTTCTTAGGGAGAAGTCGGGTGGCTTCTGCGAGGGAGAGAACTTCCTGTAACAATGCAACTCACAATATTTGGAATGATTATTATTTTTTTAAAAGGACAATGTGTGGAGGAGTGGGGCCTAGGGAAGGACATTTGGAGGAGGGATACAGAGGCAGAGCATTGATGGGATGGGGAGGTGTGGTGTTATCTGTTGAAGATATTTTGATCAACTGGACTGGGGAGAAATGTTCACATATTGAAATGTTCACTTTGTAGGCTAAACAATGTGATTGAATGTATATACAAAATAAAATTTAAAAAAGGACAATGTACAATCTAAGTCCTTGGCCACTTTGCAGAACTCTGGGAATGCTGCTTTAGCCGACTGCTGTCACCTTCACTGTTCCAGTTTTTAAATCTTGAGTCAAGCTAAAAAACAAACAAAAGAAAACAAAAACAAAAAAAGGATAACCAAACTGAACAAAACAAAGATGCTGATTTCATCTCATTTTCTGTACAGGTTAGGTTTTGTCAAGAAAGGGTGTAATGCAACTAAGTCATAGTCAACCTACATTAAAAAACAATAAAACACAACAAATTTTTACATTTAGGGAAGCTACAGTGGTTGGGCTCTCAAGAGATAATATTTCAACCCTCAGCTCTCAATCTTGGAGTCCTGTTTTTGGTGTTTTTATTCTGAGAAGTTTCTCCAGTACCCCCTTCATGTCCCTGTTTCTGAGGCTATAGATGAAGGGGTTCAACATGGGAATCACCACTGTGTACATTACTGAGAAGACTTTGTTCTTCCCATCAGAGTGAGATGATGGAGGACACAAATAGACCCCAATGGCTGTGCTGTAGAACAGGGATACCACAGAGAGGTGAGAAGTGCAGTTGGGGAAGGCTCTTTGCTTACCCCTTGGAGAATCAATTCTTAAGATAGCCAGTGCAATGTACAAATAGGACATAAGAATGCAGACAAAGGGACCGATCAGCAGTGCTCCTGCCACAAGAATGAGCACTAGGTCATTAACATACGTACTAGAGCAGGCCAGCTTCAGGAGGGGGACCAGATCACAGAAAAAGTGGAGAATGATATTGGGACCACAGAAGGAAAGTCTGGTCAGAAGGAGTGTGTGCACTAGGGCATGGAAGGAAGTGATCACCCATGACCCAACCACAAACAGAATGCAGCGTTGAGAGGTCATGGTCATGGCATAATGGAGGGGGTGGCTGATGACCACATAGCGGTCAAGTGCCATCACAGCAAGGAGAAAATTGTCCAGATCTGCAAATAGTCCAAAGAAGTAGAGCTGTGTCAGACACCCACCATAAGAAATATGCTTAATTGCTGAGCTAATATTAACTAGCATCTTGGGAATTATTGTAGAGATGAAACCAATGTCAGAAAAGGACAGATTGGCCAAGAACAGGTACATGGGGGTGTGGAGGTGCTGGTCAGAGCCAATGACCAGGATGATGAGCAGCTTCCCCACCACAGTGACCAGGTACATGCCCATGAACAGTCCAAACAAGAGAAGCTGCTGCTCCAGGTGCTCCGAAAAGCCCATGAGAAGAAATTCATAGATTCTGGTCTGGTTTCTGTTGTTCATGTCCATAATTCTGTGTGAAATAAATTTTATTATATATAAACAACAACAACAACAACAAAGAGGGCTTGTTAGGGCAGCTGGATCTCACATGGCTGACAGTGTGGTCTGAGTCCTAGACCCAGCAGCTTGGGAAACACACCAGCTGCATGTGCATGTATGCCCCAAATCCCTAGAGGAGAGTGGAGAAGAAGAGACTGTGGCACGGCCATCCCCTCTTGGGGGTGCTTTGTTTCACATTCTCTCTCTGGCAAGCTCATGCATCCTATAGCAAATTAAAAAAAATAAAATTATGCCCTGTTGGAGGTACATCTAACCCCTATTTTAAAAAATTCTGTGTTTTAAACAACTCTGTTTTGGTAAAATTTGAAGTTATAATTATGTGTTAAAAATAGTTTGAATCAGACTGTGACTTTATAGACTAACATCAGCATATTATTGGCTATATAAGGTTTCTTTAAACTATTTCACCTGTCCCCTTGACACATGTATTGGTGTGCTCTGGATCACACATATCCTGCGAGATAAATTCATATTTTTACTTAACAATAATAGAATTAAGTACATTATACATTTAGTAAAAAGGTAAAATACTAAAACAGTGCATACATGTGTAATTCCATTACAAAAATAAAGCATATAATATTTGTACATGACTGAAAAAACTGAAAACACACACCAAAGGTTGATAGTGTTTACCTCTGGAGATTGAGGGAGTTGAAAAGTGGTGGTTGTGAACTTCTGCATTGCTCCAAGTTTTACTGGCATATGTTATCTTTGTAATTAAAAGATGATGATTTTTATTTATTTGCCAGAGGTGTGTGCACTTGTGAGAGAGACAGAGAGAGAACAGAGAGAAGGGAAAAAGCACTCCTCACTGAGGGATGTTCAGACCACAATCCCTCCACCTCTATTTCTTTAATCCATCAGGATTCGAGGCATGCATGCACACGTGTCTGGCATGTTCTTCTAGCCACCAAGGCTGGGATTTAAATCATGCAGTCAACCATGTGAGATTGAGTGCTTTAACCACCAGGCCATGAAGCTGACCCAAAATGTTTTTTAAGAGTGATGGATGTGGTTAGTTGAATTAATCCAAGTGCTGGTCTAAAAGCTAATATGAAGACTTTTTGGAGACCTCCAGATCTAATGCGATAACTAGGGTGTATTCTCTGAAAGGCAGCTCTGTCAAGTAAGTAGAAAACTTAAATGACTCTTGTCTTCTGGAAGGAAATAAAGATGAAGTTACACAGAATTATTATTTTTTTAATCACAGTCTGCTTTATTTGGGCCCTTTTATTAATGTCCTCAGCTCTTCCTCTGGAAATACGTACATGACTGCTCCGGTATCTCCTAACATAGCTGAGAACTATTCATGCCTTTCCTCTGACAACCTTGATTCTCCTCACTTACAAGTGCTTCTCAATCCACTATGGCTCCTCTTCTTCTGTATCTTTCAGTTTAAAAAGCTAAGTTTCAGACAGTCAATTATAGGTCCTGAACCCATCTTTATTCTAAATGGTCTTCTTATATTTACTTATTAGATTCTTAGGTTTCAAATCTAAATAGAAGCCTCCAAATCCTACTTTTCTCCCAAAGGCACTCCTTAGTTTGCCTCTAAGACTGCTCAGAGAAGAGGAAATCTGATTTGAGATTGTATATCTTTTTATTTTCCTTTCTTTTCTCTTTTCTTTTTTCCATAGCAGCCATAGTGGGTATTACTACGATCTTATAACTAGATAATCTTAGAAATTAAGTTTATTCAACCCACAGCCCTTATTCTGCCTTGAAAATTTGCCAAATACTGGATTCCCTTAAGTGATAACCCTTTGCGCCAACACTTTGCTTATCTATTAAAAATGTAGAAACTGAGGTTGAGAGTAGACAAGTAACTTTTTGCAGGCAATTGAAGTAGGTACTGAAGTACCTATCATCGAGTCAAAACCCTAAGTTCTTAATCACAGTTATATTGTCTTTCAATGTTCATCAAACCACTTTCTGACTCTAGTTCACCTTCCTGCATATATTCCATGAGAAAAGAGTGCATAATCAGGGAATTTACATATTCAATTTACCAATTTCAGTTCTCATAACAAATGAGGATGTGAATATTTTGTCTTACACCTTAATCTTTTATGAATGTGATTAATATGAATATCAATCCACTTTGGTTCAATCCAATGTCTGGACAAGATCCAGTATCTACAGTAATTAGTGTGAATAGACAACCCTCAGAATGGGAGAATATTTTGGTAAAATATGCCTCAGACAAGGGACTGATAACCATAATACATAGGGAACTTAAGCAGCATACCCTCCCTCCAACAAAAATAACCCAATTAAAAGATGAGAAGATAAACTGAACAGAAGTCTCTCTAAGGAAGACATATGAACAGCAAAAAGCATATGAGGAAATACTCAACATCCCTCATCATAAAGGAGATGCAGATTAAAACCACAATGAGATACCACCTAACCCCTGTCAGAATGGCAAGCATTAAAAATATAAAAAGTGATAAGTGTTGGTGGGGATGTGGTGAAAGGGGAACTCTCCTACATTGTTGATGGGAGTGTAAACTGGTTCAGACACTATGGAAAACAATATGGAGGTTGCTCAAAGATCTACAAATAGAACTACCATTTGATCCAGCAATCCAAGTTCTGGGCATCTACCCAAAGGACAGGAGAATATTCAGTCGGAAACACGTTTGCTCATCAATGTTTATTGCAGCGTTATTCATGATAGTTAAGACATGGAACCAACCCAAATGTCCACAAACAGATGAATGGATGGAAAAAGTGTGGCACATATACTCTATGGAATACTACTTAGCCATAAAAAACAACAAGACCCTGGCATTTGATAGAAAGTGGTCAAATATTGAAGCTCTGTTGCTAAGTGAAGAAAGCCAGGATATGAAAGAAAGATATTGTATGTATCCACTTGATATACATCGACTATTTGCACTTTAAGGTAGAGTTAGAAATATTGGAAGGCATAAAAGCTGTAAAAATAATTAGGGATGCTGAAGACAGTGTGAAACGGGGTGGGAGAAGGGAATAGCATAGAGAAGGATAGCATGAGATCAAATAGAGGCATAACGTAAGTGGGACACAGAAATGGTTTATTACCTGTTGATGATAAGCATGTATGGTATTCTCAACTAGACTGGTCTGAGAAATATTTCATGTTGGGTAAATTATTTTTACAAGCAAAATGATATATAGTGATTGAATGTTTAACAAAAGAGAATAATAACAATAATCTGGAAAAAATGATGAAAAGATATTATTTTTTGGAGAGGTTTTTGCAATAGGGTGTGTGTGCTCACCAGAAAAACAGAGAGAGACAGAGAGACAGAAAGTGAGCAATCATTACCCAGGTGGGATGACCACACCGCAATCCCTTCTCCTCCATTCTCCTCTCATGATCTTGGGCATGTACTCACACACACATGAGTTTAAGTCATTGGGTCTGGAACTTGAACCACAGTTGACTACATGGGAGTCCCGATGAAAAGTTATTTGATGATGATGTGGATAGTAATGTCTTTGTCTTGATTGATATGCATGGTATTCCTTCTGGAAAAATGTAATAATGTAATATACTGTAAAGATACTTGTGATTCAATGTAATTTAAACAAGATTATGATAATAATAAATAAAAATGTAAAAAGAATTTTAAAGTACTATATATAAACATAAAAGAAATCCAGTGTCTATACTTGCAAAGTGAATGATTAGGACCAAGATGTCTACTCTGGGGTGGAGTAGAGACTTTCTCATATCCCTGTCTTCTCTCTCCTCAATTGCAACCAAGTCCAGAGTCAGAAGCTAAGTAGACAGTAGGATGCCTGTATAATATATTTCATTATATTCATTCAATTATATCACTTTCCTAATAAGAATAAAAAATAAGTGTACATTTAATCCAGTTTGCACTTTTCTTGCTCATAATTAACCTTCAGCAATGTCATCCTTTAATAGAAACATGTAGTTCAATGTAGTTACATTGTTTTCAAATTTTAGAATTATAAAAATAAATTAATATATTCATAATTATTATGATATTCTCTGCAAATAAACTAATGAAACTTAAAACAATTAACTTTTGCTAAGAGATATATCAGATACTTTTTTTTTATTATTATGACTGATGCTTTTACCACTCTTATTAGTGCATCTAAGCTGGAGGCATGTATCACAACCACCAGGGAATATGTATTATATGCTCCTAACAAACCAGGTGCCCATTGCATCTACACAAACTCACTGCATTAAGCTAATTTATTTGTTATTGAGGAGATTATTTGGTTGCATAAAGGAAAAATATCTAGTTTGTATGTATGACATACTGCCTTGAAATTAGTTGTTTATTTCCATTAGATTATGTGTCCCTTGGTGATTCATTTTTATTCATCTTGTTTCTTAGTATGTACTCAGTAATCATCTAGTAAAACAGTAGATAGTTGGACAGCAAAATGATGTTCTAAAGCTATGATAAAACTGTGCAGTACAATTATTTAGCACCCCAAATTGCCTTTTTAAAAAGTTATTTCAACTTTATTTATTTATTTTTAATTTTACATGAGAGGGACAGAAAGAGAGACAGAGTAAGTGAGAAAGCAAGCCACCAGATCTGGGACTAGAACTGCAGTTGGCCATGTGAGAGTCCGATGTCCTTAACCACCACACCACACCACCTGCCAACCTCCCAGTTTACCTTTTACTTAGAAAGATAATTAATAAAAAATGATGACCCTTAGTGAAGATCTTAGGTTGTCTAGCATAGTACATAGAAAATATTCAAAATTGTTTGTGAAAGCGAAAAAAAGAAAAAAGGTAAAGTATTGATGATCATTGAAATAGTTAAGCCTAATCAATTGTGTATTTGCACAAATATGTTTCTTTACATTTTACTTTTGAACTAAATACTGTTTTAATTAAAAGAATAATGCAAGGAAAAGTAATTCTTGGGATTCAGATTTCCTATGAACATACC